TGTGTGTGTGTGTGTTGTGTGTGTGTGTGTGTGTGTGTGTGTCGACTTGTAACAAGTGTCTGGTTTGGTGGGTATAGAGGGAGGTAGACAACAGCACACGAAGGTAAGGGAGGTTTCCAAAAGAAACGGAAGTGTGGCCCACCAAAATATGTAGCATTCCACCGTGTAGTTCCAAGTTGGACAATTCAGGGAAAAAAAAAAACAGGAAAATTCGAACTTGTCACAGGTGGGACACCCAAGGTCCCTGGTGCTACTGCTCCGGTTCCTAGGAGCTCTCTTCGTTTCCGGACGGTAGTGCCGTCGGCCTCTTGGACCTTTCTGCGGCGGTTCTTCCGTCACCGGGCGGTTAGTCCTTTATCTAGGTTCACATTGGAGTAGTCGTTGTACGGTCAGTATTGTCAGAGTCTAGTCTGTCAGTCGGGAAATCAGATGTGTACGTCCTAAAGTTCGTAACGAGAGTATCCGGCAATGTCGTCTGTGTGTGTGTGTGTGTGTGTGTGTGTGTGTGTGTGTGTGTGTGTGTGTGTGTGTGTGTGTGCTCCCCTGGCTGCAGTGAGGTCAGGGGGAGCAGGTGCTGGGTGAGGGTGGCGTCCATGCCCCGGTAGACCCCCAACTAACCAGAGACAGAAGCACCTGGAGACACCCCGCCCTGCCCCCAGACCCTCACTCTGACCTGGCTGCCTTCCCAGCGCTGCACACTGCACCGCCACACACAAGCCCGACAAACTGTCACAACACGGGCAGGGGGGGGGTGGTGGTGGACGGAAGGACATGGAGAGTGGAGAGGGAGAGGACGACGGGGGAGAGAGGGAGCCAATGAGAGAGAGGGCAATGGAGCAAAAGGTCAAATGAAGCCGAATCGCCCATGCTGCTAAAACAACAAAACACAGCTGCTTACTGTATGTGGCACTTACTGATTTCACACATGAAGACATGATGGCAAAGAAAGAAAAGGCCATTGCAGAATCTGTCTGATTTGGTTTAAACAATAATGTACTGTCTGGTCTTGGGACTTTTTATTTTCTAAAAACATCCCATTATTTTCTTTTTATTCATATTGTGGTTTTTTCTTGCATTATTTTTCTCCTTTACTTAATATTTTTTTACTACCAAAATATGAGAAATCAGACCTCATTTACACATAGCTCCACAGCAGGGGTATTTTAATTATTACAGTAAAGAGACAGCACAGATAAAGAGCAACACAATACCATTGGTAGACTAACATAATGAATATGCACACGTTGATCAAATCAAATCCCCAAAGTACACATTCATGTTAAAAAAGAAGTATCAGGATTTATTGAGGGAGCAGCCACTAATAGCTTTAATAAATTGTAGAAAAGTTTATATTATACTTAATAATGATCATCTCTTAACGGTGGTGTAACAATGAATCTATGTATTTACAGGTTATTATATATATCTTCATCCCGCTGCACCGCCTGACTTCCCTCTGGGGATCCAGGCTGATCTTATTTCAAACAAGTCATTGGGTCATCATGTACCGTTCCTCTTTCTCTCTTTTCAAAGTAACATTTCCATCTACAAGATCTTCCTCTGGCCTTTTGTAGATGGAATTGTTGCCTTGTACAAAGAAAATGAGAAATAAAGTATTTATCGGAAGCCGAACGGTGTGCAGACCTCCTTAGTGGACTGCAGTTACATTTGTGATGCCTCACACAGAAGTGTCTTTTCCTGTGCAAACACTTAGCCTCTCTTTATCATACGTACCACTAAATATCTCATTACTTTTGCTAAGTGTATTATCTAAATCACTAAATAAGCAACCATTTTCAAATGCTCCTTGTCTACATATTGATAATGTTGTGTCCTACATGTGCAGTTACAACAAAGTATAAGAAATGTTAAGTCTAGTAATACTAAAGTTACTTATTAATGATTCCATCTACTCCTGTGTCTCCTATGACAATACATGTAATCTCTTTTAGGTTTGTGATTAGTGTTCGGACAACACATTTGGTATTTTATCGACCATAATGTATATTGGAGAAAATAATCTGTAGATTAATCCATAATGAGAAAGAAAAGGGTTGCAGCCTTACATACATGTGTAGTTATTACTGGATTTGTGTAATTAACAATGTTTGAATTGTGCATTGGTGTGTCTCTAGGGTCACTGTGTGTGTGTGTGTGTGTGTGTGTGTGTGTGTGTGTGTGTGTGTGTGTGTGTGTGTGTGTGTGTGTGTGTGTGTGTGTGTGCATACTCAGACGCTTACAGGTTGACCTTAGCTCTCCGGGCTGGCGTGTAATTAAGAAGGCCTGATATGTGAATTCTCCGGAGCCCCGGGCCACCCTGATCAATAGACCTTTCATGAGGAATTCTATTACCACTGCCACTTAACGCCTAATATTTCATCTCTTTTGTCCAGCCTCATCATAAGTAATTCCAAACACACTCTTTTTTTGCAAGCTCACACTCTAAACAATCAATTCTCCAGTGTAATTAATTAGAACAAGAGCAGGAAGAGACCATGAACAGGGGATAGGATGTCCAAATCAAAGACTGCAGCATAGTATCACTCTGCCTGTCCACAAACACATGAGCAGTCTCTGTGCTGTCGCTCATTCTGACGAGAGGGGGGGGGCCGTACTGCGTGTTTTACATACATTACGCTCACCGGTGGACCTCCCTGTGATTGACGGATCCACATTGTATTAATGACAGTTTTATCCGTCAGATGATTCAATCTCAGTAGCAGGCTAACAAAGTTGAAAAAACAGGACATTAAACTGCCATATGCTCCCGCAGAAAATACATAATGCAAAAGATACTTTGAACAGACAAATATGCCTGTGGAAAGTGTACAGTGGCGCTAAGAATAAGGAAACAACAACACGTTCATTTCTGCTATTTTTCAGCCCATAAATATTCATGATAAGCCTTAGTGTGTGTTGAGACACCTGCACCTGCGCTACCGGTGCTATTCATGCAACGTGTGAGGGGGAATCACACATCTGCGGGAATGAGAAAGAAAAATACGTGCCTTTATGTTGCTCTTTCTCTACATATGTGTGTGCGTGTGTGTGGTGGGGGGGGGCAGCTGACTGCAGTTCCACTGTGAGCAGTAGGGAGCACTGATGACTCACAGCAGCA